TATATATATATATAGTAGTAGTATATATATATATATATATATATATATATATATATATATATATATATATATGAGAAGTTAAGCAATGCAGACAGGACGAGGCTAGTATTCTGTAGGGCAAATAAGACGTGGCTGGACTCTGATTTTTTGATTTTTCCGGTGAATCACTGCGGTAAAAGTCGCAATTGAGAACAGTCTGACATTTCACATCATTCAAAACATCGACGTTATTGATCATTCTTGGATACAAGATGCAATAGGATAATTTGATCTTTAACATTGGTTGTCGTGCAGTCGAGAGACGTAGTAAGCAGTATAAGGTATTTAACCATAATCAATGACTCTGTATCAGAGAGTTGAGTCCAGTTCTGGATATAATCTTTTGCAGCTTTCCTTCGATTTCAAAGTAATGCAGTAACCCGTACTCACTTTCTAAGTTTGGTAAACGAAAATTCCAGAAAATATTTCGAGTTAGGTCGATCATTCATCTACTTTTTTTTGGAAAAAATTCTCTGTCACTTCACTATATAGTTAGTCTCTGAGTTTTCGTTTGCGATTATAGATGGGTGTTCATTATGACCAAAGAAAAAAAAAGCGGCAGAAATATAAGGCATTTATTGGGATATTGAAGAAAGAATAGCATTAATAACAGAGTAATAAATGAAAATCATTATTGGATGGGATGGACAATACGAGAAGGGACTTTCATATATATATGTATATATATATATAATAAGTTATTCATGAGAGCATGACATGTGAATGCATTTTAGTTTGATCGTAAGCTCATATTTACCACAAATTCCATTTGTTTTCCTTCGAATTCGATTATCAGTGTTTATTAGATTGTATTGTTATTTAATGTCTGCCGATATAAAGCGATATGCTATGATTTGATTAAGATGTAATTTGTACTGAAGTTCATTAATAATATGAATTAGCAATGAGTGGAAGGAAGACGGGAGAAACAAAAGAGTTTGAATAATTATGAACTTCATAAGTGACAAAAGTAGAACTAACTGAACATTTCGAGACTGTTTGCCAATGAGGTAAAATTCATTTGCATTGGTATTAAGATTATTTTAATGCTTTGATATATAAAGTGTATTCCTGAAATACCAGTGGCTACATTTCTTTCTGATCGTTTTGTTTTATATTCAAATACATTTAGCAAAAAGTGAATGTGATCCCACGTATCGTGAAAGTCGCGAAAAACTAAAATTTTATAATTATACAAATAAAATTAGGAATGTTTTCCATGATCATGGTTTACCATTTATCTCACATATTTGTTTAAATTTACATTCCTTAGATTTATTTCCCGTTTCAATTCCCATGTTTTTTCTTTATGTCTAAGCACATGTCTTTGTTTAGAAATGCCTTTGTTAGCAATTGCTTAAAATATCTAACTAAATTCACATCTGAGCTTCTCATTGGATCTTATTACGATGTGCATGTTTTTGTAATTTGGCTCTCAACAGTTCCCGGTGTTTAATTTGACCGCCTCTCACTTCTTAACATACGTAAGCCTATCCAAAAATAAAAAAGGGTTTCTTTTGGATGCCACATCAACGTTATTACAAGAAATATTCCTGGCATCTCTGCTCTTAATCCAACTGTCCAACTGTTACCAATTTAAAGTCTATTTGGCTTGATTGATATTAATGTTTAAATAGATCTGCATATTATCCTGTCAATAAAGAAGTTCTTTGGTCACTCTCCTACACAAATAAATATCAAGTTTATTGTTGCTGAAACTATTCAACTCAGGTAATCAAACTTTCAAACACCACGAGAACGACTGTCAATTTCAAGGCGAGAAATTTTTTAAGTAACATACCAACGGGCATAGCAAAAGTGAGCAGTATTTTTCTGATGACATTTCGATCTTGTGGATTCAAAACATCGTATAACATATGAGGTATGCCTTATTAGATAAAAATCAGAAGGCCGATATGAAGAAAAAAAAGATTGAACGCTTTCATTGGTGTCTTCATCCAATGATCACACCTTGCAGAAATCCTTCAGGAAAGAGTAGCAGAAAAAAAAAGGAAAACCTTAAACCATCTAATCATTCCTAATTTCTGATATTGCTAGACATCATCACTCTTATTCCATTGTTAAATGTGATCGACACGAAAAAGGAAATGGGTAGTAGTGGAATAATCAAAGTTATAATAATGAAAGGAGAATAAAGTTGAAGACAGTTGAAAACATCTTTGTAATTAAAGGTTGTTTGCAAATTGTCACCAATCATCAAGTGTACATATATTTGCTGCACATGTGATAAAAACATTTTACAAATTTCACCTAATAGTTCTTGTGCAATTAGCGACACAATGACATCTTTTATACACAGGATGGGATGATCGTAGTTAATTGAACTGATAGGGGGACTTTCAGATTTATTCATTCTGCGAAATGATGAAGAACTCCACTTCTGGTTTTTTATAATATTTCACAATGTTTTTTTCTTTTTTTGTTTTTTTTTTTTGTAAATTCTCTCAAATGATTAATGCTTTGATAAATAACATCTCGAGATATTTTTGAAAGGAATAACCGATGTTTGCAGATTTGGCAAACAAATACGGAGGTTTTTTTTTGTTTGATAAAAATGCGCGGTATTTTTAATCAATTTGTAGGTTTGATCAAGAGTTTCATGACGGAAATTCATTTCTGAAGCTTCAGAAACTGATAAATCTTGGAAAGTAAATTTCAATTTTAGGTTATTGTACTGAAAGATGTATTCCACAAGCAAAAAACAGAAAGAAAAAATGAAATAATAGTGAAAAACGATAGATGTTTGTGTATGGATGAATAGCCGGAAAGCATCCGATTCCTTATCACAGTAATGAAATGTTGGAAAGCATATCGCTTCTATCAATGGTTCTGTTGTGTGTGATGAAAAGTTATCAATTCTTAAATCTCACGTATTGTTTCGCTTTCTAATTTCATTTAATTCAATAGCACTATTGGAACGAACGATTTTACATTACAAATGAATAATAGTACACTTATTTGCCATTTGAAAAAGTAGGAGTAGATTAAGTATTCCATTCCATTCGATATTACGTGAGATATTTGTAATGAAAATGCTATCTTCTGAATTATCGAATTTATTCATTGAAATCAAATCGGCCATTAATTTAGCTTGTGTGAAGCTTATGCTTTAACATTTTTCTTATTATTATTTTGTAAATTATTACACAAAAAATGCCTCGATTTGGGAATAAATGAACATATGATATGTTTTCCATTCAGGAATTGATTAAATTATCTGCTCCTGAATTGACTTACGTGTTTCTTCATTATTGGAATACAACATACGTGAGAAAACGACGAAGAAATGTGGGCTATATATATATTTTTTTTTACCACATATTCCTATGAAAACGTTAATTGCGGCTGTAAAACCACACATAGCAGCGAGTGGTTTCGATCCACCGACCTCTGGGTTATGGGCCCAGCACGCTTCCACTGCGCCACGCTGCTTGCATTACACAATCATCTAGCGTATGACTAATCCCTAATAAATTAAATTTTGATGAAAATGAATTATTGAAATAAAGGAGAAAAGTTCACTACCGGTCATGAGACTTTTAAGAAATATAAATATATATATTTTTAAGAAATATAAATATATATAGAAATATAGGAAATGCAGGTAACTAATTAATAATTGTCAATAGAGACAGGTAATTTATTTGTTGTCCTTTTCTGCTTCATCCAGATGATCTTTACTGTATCACAAGTATGCAAGGTTACCTGAAATCATGCAGATACACTTTGCAATATTTTCCTGAAATGCATCCCATTAGGCATTAGACTTCATAAAGCAATCATTGTTTTTTTGATGTGGAAGAAATGGAGAGGATGGACAGGGAAGCACTGATAAAATATGAATGATAAACGAGAGTTATGTTAACTTTCGTTGAAAGCAATGCTATAATGCTTTTATAGATATAATAATCTTATCAAATTCATGTTGATGTTCTTTTCTTGAAATTAAAAAAAATAAAACTATTTTAAAATTTCAACATGCCAAAATTTTGAAAAGTACATGTGAAGTTTTCCGATGTACCTTTGAAATTAAGCTTAACTTTACTGATTCTCTGGGAAATTCTTGACTAAAACACTAATCAAAACGAGACTGAAGACAACTAAACACATTTTGTTATGATTGAATTGTTCCGTTTTGTCCACTTAGTAGAATCGTTCTTGAATTAAATGCAAATTTGGTTTCTTGAAATCAGAACTAAGAAGATATCTACTGATTCCGACTGTTAACAGATGATGATATTGATTTGGTTGCCCAATTCTGTCTCACTCAAGCAGTACCTTTACTCTTCATCCATTCATTTCTTTCCCACATCTCAACTATATCTAAATGTAAAACTAGCAATGATAGCATAGTTACTTATCAAAGATTACTGAAAATATGGCAGACAATTCCTACCCTGATACAGACATAGAGTTGACTAATGCTTATCAGCTAATCAAATTTTATGAATCCTAAAATAACTATAATCAATACTACAAATGTTTTAGCAGAGTATTATTAAAGATATTTACGAGTTATTTACCAACCAATTTATCACTGATGAGGAATGCAACATTTTATTCCGGCATCCATGAATTTCTGCTCTTAACTCATCGATTAGTAATTACATTTATGGGGAGTTAATAAATCTAAGTGATAAATAAATGGATTCCGACTTTATATAATTCACCATATTAATTCTCCTACAATTTTTGTTTCCCGATTCATTTGCATGCGTCAAAATTGTCACATTCAACTTTAGCAATATTCTATTTCAATACTATCAACAAAACTATTAATTAGTGAGAAATGACTTGATTTGAAATGTTTAGCTTTGTTTTTGTATTTTAATAAGTTTCAGAAACATATACGCTTAAAGTTTAAAAATTCGAAAAGTAAGCAATAAGACACAAAGTTGTGCATGCAACTTCCTGATACTGAAAGTTTTAATTAGAGTGAATTTAAATTTTCAAATAATATTTGTCAAGTACTAATTGTATAAGTTTTACTTTTGAAGTTTCAGTTTCATAAAAGTCACCTCAATTTTTATCACTTCTCAAAATGTTTAGGTAATTTAAAACTGTGATTCGACCGTTAATTATAAAACTGTATTAAATTGTTTTTGGTCTGGAAAATAATAAATTTGCATAAAATTCTAATGCTAAAAAAACATCACTACAGCTTTCTCACAAATAATATTAAAAAATAATGCCAATTCGATCTGAGTATTTATACGTCCTTCTACTACTGCTTTCGTTTGCTGCTACAATAAGAACCGCTAATTCGGGTAAGTTAAATTGCTCATTTATCATTTCAGATACAAAAATAAGTGAAATGTTCTGAATAGGGCAAGCATGGAAAAAAAGTGAGATGAAGTTGAAAAATCAAATCAGTGGTTAGAACCTTAAATTTGTTGGTAAATACCGGGAAATGTAAAGTAGCTGATGATGGTAAAGTTATGATAATCGTAACATTTCAAGATTATCAGAAGTTTTAGGCAGCAATTATTGACTTTTCTGATGACCAAGAAAACTTCCACTTAAAACTGTACAAATAGATCTCTCTTCCAATTAACGAAATGCTTAATTTAAATTTGGAATATATAACAAACTTCAGTTTGTGAGGATATTGTGACGACAAACACTGGAAGTGTAATATATATGCAAGCCAATTATACAACGAGACATGCAGCAGGGACAATGGCGCTAATGTCATGCAAGTTCGGATATATCAGCTCATTCCCTTTTTTGGTTTTCTGTCAGTCAAATGGCAAATGGAACGACAAACTTGGTCATTTTTCTCAATCAAACTGCTTTAGTTGCAATGTATTAGAAGAAAAAATATATCGGGCAGTTGGTAGTTTCTAGTTTTTAACCAATTACTTTAGGTATTATTAAGATGACAACACTCAGCGATATCTATTCCAGGATTCTTAGATTTCTTAACCCTAAAAAAAAAAAAGTTCCTACACTCGAAATGTTTCACGATATGTATAGCTTACTCTCAGTTATAATCCTAACATATTTTAGGTGATTGTATTTTAATTGCTAAGGCTTGCGAACCTCACGATACTGAGTCCGGTGTCATTTACATGCCTGTAAGCATTTGCAATAATAAACTACATGTGTGAGTGTCTGTCTACCTGTATGTGTTTGTCATGCCAATAAGAGAAAAATTGAAGGCCAGATGAGGAGGGATACTCTGAGAAGGTTTCCGAGGACCAGCTGGTCTCGTTAAATGGTTGTAAGATTTCAATCACATTTAGGATGTCGGTGTAGCGAATATTGATAGAGTTCGTTTGAGGGGGTGATGTCGAAAAAGAGACAACTATTGCCAGTAATATAACGCGGGTTGTAGTAGCGTTAAGTTGAATTGAGTTGATTCAGGTACTATGATTTGAGTTGAGTTGTACACGCACCAGATTGTAGACAATTTATTGATAACGGTTCT